CGCAAGTGCATGTGTGCATTGTCTATACCCCTTTTTTTCATTTTTAGGCTTTTTTTTTTTTTACAAAAATGACTTTCACGGTAATCGTTTTACCATAATTCATATTAAGTTTTACGGTAATTAAAATACCGTAATAACTAGAAATAGTATTACGGTAATTAAAATACCGTAAATAACTTCAAGTAGTATTATGGTAATTAAAATACCGTATTAACTTCAAGCAATATTAACGTACTTTAAATACAGGAATACATTATAACATTTTTCTACCGTAAATGTTTCCGTTTTATACGGTACTTTAACTACCGTAATGTTTAACTGATTGAGTTTATACAGTACTTTTGATCCCACGTACCCCTCTTTCTCTCAACCTTCCCTCTCTATCTCTTTTAATCTCCAACAAACCAGCTCTATCCCTTTCAACCCTCCCGCCCGTCTTTATATCTATTTCATCTCTATCTGCCCCTAAACTTTCTCATTTTCTCTCCTTGCCACTTTTCTCTCCTTCTTTCTATCTCAAATCTCATTCACACACACTCTCTGTCTCACACACATAAAACCCCTCTCTCTCCCAAGTCACACGTAAAACCCCTCTCTCTCCCAAGTCTCATCTCTCTCTCCTATCCCTCATTGGTGGAGAAGGAAGCCATACATGGTGCCTAATTACAGTACTTAAAGTACGGTAGTATTACTTGAAGTATTTTAATTACCGTAATACTACATGAAGTTATTACGACATTTTAATTACCGTAATACTACTTCAAGTTATTACGGTGTTTTGCTGTAAAACTTAATATGAATTGCAATAAACGACTACCGTGAAGGCCACTTTGGTCCAAAAGAAACCCAAAAATGGAAGAAAAGAGTGTTGACGAGGTCTTTGAAAGTTGGGGCTTTTTTCCAATTAAGCTAAAATATAGGTATATTTGTGATAATTTCGCAAGTATTAATTCGATTTGAAAAAGTATATAATGAGATTATTTATTTTTGGTACAAGGTGGTCACAATTAATCTCTATCATTGGATCATAAATTAGACATTTGTATTTATTCTGTTGACTAACCTCAAACTTTAAATGAATATTTTTTGAACTTTGTGAGACACCGAAGCTATCGGATTTCACATCAGATATGGCGGTGCAGGCTCGCCGACGAGGTGGAACTCACATGACTTTGTTGGTCATGGGCTAAAGAGGTCCTCTGATTCTGATTTGACTGATGACTCGATGCCCTAGGTGGGACATGTGGCTCAACAAGGCCAGCACGCTTCAAGAAAGCATTGACCTCGGGTGGGGCATGTGGCTCAACAATGCCAATACGCTTCAAGGATGCCTAGACCTCTGGTAAGTTCTTGAACCTCTCTAATTAGAACTCGGGGAGTTCTTGATCAAACTGATTTAACTTAGAATGCATGCCCTTGTTGGGTGAACTACGATAGCTCGGATTCTGACTATTAGAGGCCCTAGAATGGGTCTTTTGAGGATCCCGACGTGATTTGGCCAAACTCTCACCTTGAGCAGGTAGACTTGGCTCTATTGGACCGTGTGGGTCAAGAGAGTTAGGGGGAGCTGGGGTGTTGCCGATAATATAAATTTTAGCAGCACCTCCCTCGGACTTGGACTTTTGTAAAGGTAGATGGCACGCCTCTAGTTGGGCAGCATCAACTATAGAGCTAGACAGATGTGGGTGGTGTTGGGCAGCACCACTCTTAAACTTCGATGATGATGTGGGGTCAACTGCCACTTCACTTAAACTCAGGCATTTGTAGGTGATGCGACCTTAGTTGGGTGGTATCTCCCCTAAATTTGGAAGATAAAAGGGTTTGAGCTACTGATTGGGTGGCATGTCCCCTAGGACCCGAGTTTTGTGGGAATTGTGCCCCTGATTGGGCAGCATCTCCCTTAGACTTAAACCTAAAGATGAAGGTGGGTTCAACTCTGATTCTTTAGACTCGAGTCGAATACCTTGACTATTGAGGGTGCCTCGGGCCATGCAGACATGCTGAACCACATGACTCGATTGACTTATAGATGGGTTAGCTATGTTAAACCTTGGGTGTGAAACAATAGACCCACTGGAGCTCGATCTCGATTGACCTGAGACAGGGTAGGTCCAAGGAACTAAGCCATAAAGTCATGTGGGTCTAGTCATCCTAGGGGGGGCTAGATGACACAGTAGACTCTGTATCTGAGTCACCACAAACTACAGATATGACTAGAAAATTATGTAATAAAAATCTTCTCTTTCTATTTTTTTATCTTATTTTTTTACCCTTTTTTTTTAGCTATCTAAAAAACCAAGATAAAGTTGCTTCTAAAAGAAAAAGATTTTTTTTTTTTTGAGAGAATAAAGGATGCTTCTAAGGAAGATAAAGTCAAGAAAATTCTAAGTTATGAAGATAAGGCTCAAAAGCATAACTTAATATCAAAAAAAAAATGTGACATATTTCTAATCTAAGCAGATAAAGCACAGAAAGCTTAGATCTATCTATCTTCTTTTTTCTCGCTTTTTTAAAAAATATATATATTTTTTTATCAAAATAGATAAAGATTCTTTTTTCTTTTCTTTTTTTAAGGAAAGAGATAAAGATTCTTTCTAAAAAATGTGTAAGTATGATCTAAAGATGATAAGCATGAATGAAAAAATATATGAAAAAGATGATATATAGATGATATCAAGATGAATCTAAAGATGTTCTAAAAAAATAAAGATGATAAATATGACCTAAAAGATGAAAATAAAAGAAGATCTAAAGATAAAGATCAACTTGATTGATCTAAAAGAAAGATGATCTAAACAATATGATAAAGATTTATTTAAAAGATGAATCTAAAAGAAGATCTAAAGAAAAAAATGATCAAAAATGGTCTAAAAGAAGATTATCTAAAAAAGATAATGAAGATTGATCTAAAAGATGAATCTAAAAGAATATGATTTAAAAAATATGATAAAGATTGATCTAAAACATGAGTCCAAAAGAAGATGATAAATTTTGATCTAAAAGATAATCAAGATTGAGAAAGATCCTAAATTTTTTATGGAGAGAGAGAAATAAAATAAAATAAAATCTAGAAAGAAAAGATAGAATCTAAAAATGAAATATTTTCAAATCTACCTTAATTTATATATATATATATATATATATATATATTTGCTGAAAAAATAAATATGAGAAAGAAAAAAAAAACATTTTTATTAACACTAAAATACGGATTTGAAGCCCAAGTATCCCACGATGGGCGCCAAATTATTTATGCTCTGATTTGTGTCGATCTCTGGGATTGTATCTGATCAAATCTTAGCAAAAACTGAGTTCCTTTTGAAAAGGTAGAGAAAGTGGGGTCACTTGAATTATGGGCTCAGAAAAATCCCAGATCTATACAAATATGGTCGTTTTTCTAAGTCAACTGGCAGCGCCAGCTCCAGATCTGTATTTTGACTTTTTTTATAAAAAAAAAAAAGACACTTCTAAATTTAATTAAATCTAATAATAATTTAATTTCCAAAAAAAATAAAATAAAGTAAAAAATTAAATGAAGAAAAACAAATTAAGTTAAACAAAGAAAGATATACTTACCTTTATGGACCCGGAGTTTCGGGCTTAGATCAGGTCGCTCTTCTGATTTGTGCCACCATCTCCTTTTTTAGATGTATTTACTTACTAGAATTGGTAGATTTAATATTATGTGACCTAGATCTAGGGTTCATAAGTTATGGGAAAAAGTTGAGAATTTTAGGTAAGGTCTACTTAGGCTTTTTTTGGGATTTCAAATCTATTGTAGTATTGGGAGTGGAAAAGAACTTCATTAGTTTTCTAAGGGTTTTGACATCTCCAAAGGTTGAATATGAATTTTGTGATTTTTGGAGATTTTTTCTAATTTTTTAAGAGTTTTTTCTATTTCTGGGCTTTTTTTAATTTCAAGAATTTCTAAGGTATTTCTTGATCTCTTTTCTCACTTCTTTATTTTGGGTTTTGGATTATCTTGAAGTTTTAGTATTATCTAATAAAAAAACACTTTTATTACTTCATAAAATACATTTGTTGCATCATCGAACGTCTTCATTGCATCATCAAGCCGCATCTGGACCTGTCGGGCTGCGTAATAGCCCGGCCCATGCCTCGATACTTAGGTCTCAAGGACTAAATTATCATTTGTTAGATATTTTTATCCGCATGTCTGATTCAGGCGATTCTTATACCATTTGAAATCTCTGGTGCTCTACTTCAAGTCGGGATAAGTTTTGAGCAGTTTTGGATCAATGATATAGTATATTAGAGCTTTTGTGGTCTTTTAAGCTCGAAATTGAGGTTTTTAAGAGTTCCTTTCATCAAAATTTTCAAAATAATGCGTACAAAAGTTCAAAAAAATTTCTTTTAAACTTTAAATTTGATCAATAAAATAAATATAATTGATCAAAATTAATTATAACCACAATGTACCAAAAGTAAATGCTCACCCTCCGAAAATATCCGGGGCAAACCACACACAAAGTATCACACTCGGTTTCTCAAAGGCGAATAAACTGCGGAAAGCATCCATTTTGCACGTGCGACGTATGTACTTCATGCACCTCCCACGTGTGGTTCACTGCACAAGACCGTGCACTCACGTGTGGTGCACAAAGATACAAAAGCTTGTACCACCATTCACTCGTGCAACGTCACACGTGTTCCTAAAGGTCTTCTCTTTAACCAATAGGGAAATGATATCATGTCTTGAATGATTACCACTATAATAACCTACTATTTGTGGTATTTCCATGGAGTCATCCCAGTCCTCTCCGAGTCAGTTTTTTAACAATAAGAAGGCTGATTTTGTAGCCCTAGGCTTAGGGTCCCTTAATTAATCGTATCGAAACCGAAAACAAAAACGAAAACGAAAACAAAATCTTGTGGCTGAGTCCTTTCCAAACTTTTTAAGACCAAAATAAGTCCTTTTTCTGTGAAAAGAGGGAGTAAACATAGAGGACAAAAACTGCACTACGAGCAGGCAATGCTGGTGATTCTGCGGTCTCAGTTTTAGAGAAAGAGAGAGACAGAGGAGTTTAGAGAGAGAGGAGAGTTGGCAAGACGTGCACAAGAATGGAAAAAGGAGACTTTGGCTGAAGGTGCCATTAATGATTATGGGCTTCCTTTTGTCTGATGGAACATAAAAGACTGTTAGAGTGGGATCGTAGGTGGTCCAGCACCTCTAAGTCTCTCTCTCTAGATCATCTATCTGTAACAATGTACTTGAGTTTTGAAGGGGCAGCGCTTCGATTTTAAGCAAACCTCTCTCTCTCTAGATTCAAAACTCTGCTACATTCTTGATTTGAGCTCATCATCATCATCTCAGAGTCTCAGACAACAATAAGAACAAGGCATTATGAGCGTTTCTCACTCTTCCTGCACCACCTTCCTCGCGCTCCTCTTGATCTTTACCATCAACTTGCACTCAGGTTCTCTCTCTCTAAGACCCAACATCTTTGCATTTCCTCATCTCATTTTCTCTCTCTTCTTTTGTCCTGGTGATTTGTTGTTTGAATTATTCAACCATATTTCTCTCGCTACTTGCCATCATCAGGTGCCTCAGTAACATCTCGCCATGCGAAAGAGGAGGACGATCCAGGGACTCAATCAAAGAATAGAAAGCTCGTGTCAAGTGGTACCCCATAATGCGCTTAAAAACTCCATTTTTAGTCCAACTGAATCACCTCTCTCTCTCTCTCTCTCTCTTTCACACTGTTCACTCAGCATCTTTCTTGTTCTTTGGTTCTCTCTCTTTGATCTTTTACCGTACATGATCACCTTTTGTCTTGTTTGTTTTCTCGCCAGAGCTCTCTCTCTCTCTCACATAATCTTTACACCATTAACCAGCACTCTCTCTCTCATAATCTTTACACTATTAACCAGCACTCTCTCTCTTAATCTTTACACTATTTACCAGCATTCTCTCTCCTCTGTCTCTCTCTCTACAGGCGCGTGCACGAACAGAGACATAAGCATCTCTCAGAGCAGGGACGCAACGTCGGGGATCCCACAATACATGGTGCAGATAATCAACACATGCGTCTCTGGTTGCGCTCCCTCCAACATTCACTTGCACTGTGGCTGGTTTGCCTCAGCTAAGATTGTGAATCCAAACACCTTCAAGAGGCTCTCATATGACGATTGCGTTGTGAATCAAGGAAGGCCATTAAAGAGAAGCCAGATCCTACTCTTCACTTATTCCAATTCCTTCATGTACCCACTCCACTTTAAATCTGCCAAATTCTGTTGAAAAGTAATAACAAATCATGATTCTTAAATACCCATTGCTCGTATTGTCTTTTTCTTCACTTTCTTTTCTGTGGAGATGATCTTTATTGAAATGATATATAAAGAAAAATACATTATCAGTAAACATTTTCATCTATTTGATTTTATATCCAAGGGATTGTCACCTCCTTGCTCCTTGTATAAAAAATGCATGATCTCATAGTGTTGAAAACCTTTTTCAAATCGGCTTTTGCTTATTTTCTTTTGGGTACCTAGGTTTTTGGGTTGTTTGAGTGGGTATTGTTTTGTGTTTACCTATGGTCAAAAAAAAATTTAGAGGAAATGTATCGTAATGCACCTAAACCTGGGCATTGATTTCATGTTGCGGTTGTATCATAGTATTAATGCAACCACATTTCTAAAAAATCATAGTTGTGGTATTTGTATGACCCAACACACACTCTATTCATCTCAATAATCAATTATAATAAAATAAAAAAAAATTGCACCCCTATATGGGCAAAATGAGCCCCTTCCAACAATGAATCTAGGCCGCCCATTTGATGAATTTCAAGATCTCAGCCTTTATGGACTCAAAATCATTTTTTCTTTTTTTTAATAATGGTAATATAATGATAATAAAAATATCTAAAACAATTGTTAAAAAAAAATATCATTCGAAGGTCTAGAACTAAGCATCTCACACTATTTTTGAAAAACTAGGGGAGGGGGGGGGGGTCTAACTGGTAACCGCCCAGTTAGATAGAAACCAGCCACTTGCCGGTTCTGGTTTTGGGAGGTTTTGGTGATCAATCTTTTTTTGAAAATACATAATTCAAATAATGTACATAAAATCTCAAAAATAAGGAATTTGGTTTGTAATATATTTTTTTAATATTTTTTACATTATGGTAAAGATAAAAAATTGTTTTGGTCATTAATACTTATTTTTATATTTTTCATATTTTTTTTTAAAAAAAAATACCCTTAGCCACAAATCAACTTTTTAAAATCCATTTAATTTTCAACTTCATTTGAATATGTTTTGTTTTAATCATTATTTATATGCTTTTCATATTTTAGGTTTATTTTATCTTTTTTATTTTTTTAACAATTTTTTGAATGCCTGAGACTTGCCCAGTTAAAGCGGTTAAACCGGCTGGTTTACCGATTAAGCTGGTTAAACCCCTTCCGGCCTAGTGTCTGGTTAACCGTTCCAGTTCGATTTTGTAACACTAATCTCACCAAAATGGACGGCCTATATTAATTGGACTAAAAATTACTTTTTATTTTCAAATTTTTATTTTTTATGATTGCTCATTAGAACGAAAAGAGTGTATATTTTAAATTTTGGATCAAACAAATGGCATGAATATGGTTTTTGAAAGTTATTGCATTATATTACTATACAACCATTGCATGAAATCACGACCTTTTATTTTTACTTATTTATCAAGAGTTAGGTTTGCATAAAGTGTCAGCGTCCACCTCAAAATCTTAATATACATTATTTTTAGAATTAAAATCCAAAATTTTTCAACAACATAGTGGTCAAGGCGAAGATGATGAATTTGAAGTGAGTTTTGAAGAACGTAGAGTATACTATAGTAATTCACGAACATTGTCTTTTGACGGACTTTCTAAAATTTTTAAAAATATAGATAACATGCTCAAATAGTTTCTGATAAATCTTTTCATTTCTTCATGTGATTATTGGGTTACTGTTCCTGTGTTTTGTTCTTTTCATTGGGATTTCTTAGTTTTGAACCTGTCTCATGTTTTGGCCTTTTTACAGGGCTAGAACGCTCTGCAGACCTATGTATCTGACTGCTACTTTATATTTTTTTTATTATTATTACCTTTTACCTCTTAATTTGTCGTTGCTTTTTAATCAAGAGCGAATGTTGTTATTCTTTTTTCTTTTTTTTTTTGGATACGGTTTGTGTACAGACAAGGTTCTAAACAAGCCCACTTTCAAATAGTATCGAGAAATATGGTTTCAATGCTAGAAGTTTTGTGATAACTTTAAATTATATTTTAATCTTTAGTTATAAAATTTAAAGTTTCAAAAATAGTGTAAGTCAAGTAGATCTATGAAAACTTAAAAACCAAAAAAATTGACAATCCAAAAATGCGTTACGAAGAACACTATTTTCAAAACTTGAAATCTATTTTTTCCTCATGACCATGCATCTTGGTGTCGAGATGATCAATTTGATGATATTTGGCCATCAAAACAACTTCTTCCAGTGAAATTTTTTAGGTAGGCTCTAATTTGATTGTTTAGAGCTTCAGCTCAATATAAACTTTTTCATAAAGAAAAAAGTTTATATAGAGCCTAGGCTCTAAACAATCAAATTAAAGTCTGGCTCAAAAATTTCACTAGAAGATGTTTTGATGTCAAATATCTTCAAATTCATTATCTAGACATCAAGATGCATGAACAAAAAAAAAAAATGAATTTCAAATTTGAGAAATAATGCATATTGTAAAATATTTTTTAACTGTTAATGTTCAAGATTTTCAAGTTTAATTTTCATACATCTATTGGATCTATACTATTTTTTGAAGTTTTAAATTACAAACTGCACCCTATCATAAATGGAGAATGTTGTGTTACTATTTTTATGCATACGACCACAAAGTCAGAAGGCCCCTCGATATTCAGTCCGCGTGATTTGAAGGTTGACAAAATACCCCGACTTTTACAGCGTATATCGAGAATAGACACAAGTTGGGCACACAGAGAATAACGATTTCGAAAAGATTTCGGATCCCTTCACCTAAGGTTTCAAAAAAGGAAAAGGAAACAAACATATATCCGCCTTTCTAAAACCTTCGTCCCAAATAATTTAGTGGGCTATGTGGAAAGTTTGTAGACCACATTACATGAAAAGAAAAAATGTTTACCCCTCCTTACCTTTTTCACTGACCAAATTAAATTATGCAATTTTTTTTTTTTTAATAACCTCATCATGGAAATTGAGCTGCATCATATAAATGGAAATTGAGCTCCATATTTTAACTTACTTATAAGGTTCACCAGATGAGAGGGACGTGAAGGTTTAAGGGAGGTGAAGAGAGAGAGAGAGAAAGAACAAGCAGGGTTGGCAACATGTCGGACCCTAGCATAGCCATAGTCCTCATAGGGCCAGTCCGGGTTTGGCCCTAGCCCTATCCAAGCCGAACCCAAACCAAATAGATTGAAGAAAATAAAGGAAAAAGTTTTGTAATAAAGAAAAAAAGGGAAAGGCTTGGCCTGACCAAACTGGGCTGGCCCAGGCCCAGGCCTGGCTTGGCCCTAGCTCAGGCTATGATTGCTCGGCTCTCAGGCCACATTTTGTAGCCCAAGCCCTAGTCTTTTAGTGTTGGGTCCGACCTGGCAAACACCCCGCCAAATACCACCCCTAAGGAAGAGGATAATGACTAATAGAGGGGGAGCTTTTCAAGGGCTATAAAAGGGATCGCTACAAAAAATGAAACAAATAAATATTATAATTTGGATAATAAAAAAGGCCCGAGGAAATTAAATGTCATTTTCTTTCATCTTGAAGGGGATTCATGAGCTTTGTACGTACCAAAGGGGTTCTTTGGTATTTTGATTTTAGAGAAGGGGAATACATTCTTTTACTCAAAAAAAGATCTGGCTTTGGAGTACAAAAACACCAAAATTTTATGAGTTTTCAAGAAAAAAACAAGTATCAAACATCCGAGTCAAGAACCAAAAACCTTGTTAAGGGCTTGAAGTGTTTTAAGCCATGGTTTCTTCACTTTATGGGGTAAAATGTTGGGCAGTCAAAAAACAACATACCCAAAAGATAAGTATAACTAAGATGAAGATGTTGAGATGGATGAGTGACAAGACAAGAAGAGATAGAATTTGAAATGAATATATTTGGAATAGCTTAGGTATGGCTCCAATACGCGATAAAATGAGATAAAATAGACTTAGGTGAGTTGATCAAGTGCAACATAGACCTAGTACAACACCTATTAGGAGGTGTGAGTTAGTTCAAGTGGACGGCTCAAAAATGGCAAAGGGTAGGCCCAAAATAATATAGTTGGAAATAGTGAGAAAAGATATAAGGGCTTATAGCCTCACTAAATGTATAGCCCTTGATAGAGCATAAAGAACGAGGATTTGTGTAGTGGACCCCAAATAATTAGAAAAAAAGTTCCGATGATGATGAGGATGATGGTTTCTTCACTTTGTGAATAAATCAAGAAAGAATTAATGTTAGGTTTTTAAGAATCTCAAATCTAATTATGCAACAAATGAATAATCCACAATCATTTTTTGAGCAAGGGTGGCCGAGGGCCGGGTGGCCCGGCCCAGCCCGTCTCTTCTCTCTCTCATATTAGTCAAGTTCTCTAAAATAAGTAGCCTGAGGTAAGGCTATATGCTATTTTCCTTTCTGCAAGTGGACTAAACTTAAGTCTAAGACCTGTATTTCTGAATTTCATGTTTGCATATCCCCCTCTCTCTCTCTCGTATTGCCCGGTTGTGTCTTCAAGGACGCGTTTGTTTTGAGAGAACTTATTTCTCCATAACAAATAAGTCCCTAACACTAAGCAAACCCGTGTTTGACGTATAGGAAGTGCTATAGTGTCTGAAACTTCCTCAACTTTCTTATTTTCATTAAAAAAAAAAGAATTTTTTTGTTCCATAGTTAAGCCAAAAATTTGTATTTGGGAACTTATTTGTGCCCAAATCCCTAATATTATATTATATATAATATATTATAATATATTAATAAATAAAACATTAATATACATTAATATATTATATAAATATATTATATTTATATAACATATTTATTATCTAATATATTAATAAATAAAACATTAATATAATATATTCGAGGTACCCAAAACTTTTTTAACATTCAGACACATTATGAGAAAGTTAAAAAAAAAAAAAAAAATTCGAGAGAACTTTATATTCCAGCAAAACAAAGACACCGTAAGGGAGCAAAGGGTGGACGCGGAATTTTCGTATCTCACACACACGCCTGTGTCCAATTAGTGATTTTGAAAGGGTATTATGGGTTGTTGGGAATTTAAGGCAGAAACGTAGGGC